TACTGACCTCTACTGAAATCTACTGCTCTTTACTGACCTCTCCTGCTCTATGCTGACCTCTACTGAAATCTACTGCTCTCTACTGACCTCTCCTGCTCTCTACTGACCTCGACTGCTCTCTACTGACCTCGACTGCTCTATGCTGACCTCTTCTCCTCTCTACTGAAATCTACTGCTCTCTACTGCTCTTTACTGACCTCTTCTGCTCTATGCTGACCTCTTCTGCTCTCTACTGAAATCTACTGACCTCGACTGACCTCTACTGCCCTTTACTGTAACCCTAACTATTTGCTTTAGCAAAAAGGAAAGTTTGAATCTTAAAAGCAGAGCTGGTGTCTGTCTGCTGAATGTCTGACCTCTGTTCTCCGTCAGGTGGACGTGTTGATGTTTGTTTGAGTCCCAGATGTTTTTTCTCCTCAGAATCCAAACCCACTAACTCACAGAGAGCATCGGGGAGGTCAACGGGAGGAGGAGGAGGAGCAGGTGGCGGCGGCGGCGGCGGCGGGGGAAAGCGAGGAGGTCGTAAGGATGAGTCACACTGGTACAGCCGTCTGCAGAAGGTCATTCTCTCCTCCTGTGACCTCTTACCTGTCCAGGTGTAAGTGAGCTCTGGTCTCAGCTGTTGTCTGTTTCAGGGGGAGGTGCCCTGGGACGATAAGGAATTCCGGATGTACTTACTGAGCGGGGTGGCGTTCTGGACCACCGTCACTTACTACTTCTTCCTGAGGGACGGAGGACGCGAGGTCACCTGGAAAGACTTTGTCAACAACTACCTGTCCAAAGGCGTGGTGAGGACGGCCGCTGGGCCTCTTAGTTCACGATGATGTCGATGACGATCTGAAAGTAAAGTGGTCGTGTCTCTGCGGCGGCTGAAATGCAGCCATTTTGTGAATAGTTGCACTTTCCCGTCACCACGTCGGTGTGTTTCTTTATGTTGGAGTTACGGGGCAGGAACACCAGGGGGCGCTGGTGTTCCTGCCCCGTAACTTCCTGAATGAACTCTGTCACGCAGACATGACAAACCAATCAGGTTAAAGCTGGTTACAGTGGTAACCACGTTTAAAAAGTCTGGACCTGATGATGTAACAACAGGAAGCTGACCGCTGCTGTGCGTCTTCAGGTGGATCGGTTGGAGGTGGTGAACAAGCGCTACGTGAAGGTGGTTTTCTCTGCAGGGAAGACGCCGGTGGACGGGGTGAGTGTGTTCCTGTCTGCAGAGCAGCGTTCTAGGCGCCACGCTCGGTTCTGAGCGGGTTCTCGTGTGTGTCTCGCAGCAGTACGTCTGGTTCAACATCGGCAGCGTGGACACGTTTGAGAGGAACCTGGAGACGGCGCAGTACGAGCTCGGCATCGAGGGCGAGAACAGGCTGCCCGTGGTCTACTC